AAAAAAAAAAAAAAATACTGGTAGCATTTCCTCTGCTCAAAATATTTTTCTTTCACAGGAAAAGTGAGGAACAGGGTACTGAGGTTTCCCTCACTACATGTGCCCTACATCTTAGAGAGCTCATGGCGCCTCTTCCAGTGGTGGTTCCATGTATTGCATTCTCAGATGGATCTGTTCTCTTTGCACGGATCCAGAGCAATGGTTTCTTTTGACTCTAAAATGTACTTAACCCTCGACCAGTATGTTGGACCTGAAGAAATATTAAGGCATTTGTGTATAATTAGGATCTTTTACACCACTGAAATGAATGTTTTCAATGATCAGTTTTGCCTTGGATTTTGAGACTCTGGAAGACAATTACATATGCAACTATTTTGTATGTAGATGTTTTTAATTAGCAAAGAGGGCTGTAGATGGAAGTCAATTGTTAGTGTTAGTTCTGAATGCTTTACTGTTGCAGAATAGTTTTAGGTTCACAGTAACATTGAGAAGGACACAATAACACTTACTTCTTGCCCTCACACATGAATAGTTTTTCCCGCCTTATTTTCCTCTACCAGCTCAGTACATTTACTGCAAGTGATTCTTGTCAATTGAAAAGTCATAATAACCTCAAATCCATAGTCTACATTTGGATAAGTGCTTAGTGTAGTACATTCTATGGGTTTGCACACACATACAATGACATTTACCTAAAATATCAGGATGTTTTCACTGCCTTAAAAATCCTCTTTGCTTATTTTCCCATTCTTCTTACTGCATTTTTTTTTTAAATTTCAGTACTGGGGATTGAACCCAGGGCCTTATCTTTGCTAGGCACATACTCTCTTACTGAACTATATTCCTAGCTCATCAGTCACCTTTTTTACTGTCTCCATAATTTTGCCTTTTCCAGGGTCCTGTATATTTAGAATCACAAATAATGTAGTCTTTTCATATTGGCTTCCTTTTTTTTAGTAATGTACATTTAAGGTTTTTCCATGCCTTTTTGTGACTCAAAGACAGCTCATTTAGTTTAGGTGCTGAATGGTATTCCATTGTCTGGATGGACCACAATGTATTATCTGTTAATCTACTGAGAGACCTTGTGTTTCAGTGGCTGTGACTGCGTGCACAAGATCTGTATAAGAACAAGGCACTCAAACCCCAGCACAGATAGGAGAGGGGCTCATGAAGTCTCACCTCTAGCTATTTGCAACTGATGGCCTCTGGGAGAGGGAGAGCCAATTTCCTTTTGAGATGTGGCCTCTAAGAGGCTGCCCATGCTCCAGTAGGTGGCCCTACATCCTTATATATATAGGCAGCACTACTAAAGGAACCTTGGGTTTAAAAAAAGAACACGTGAAGTTGGGAGGCAAAAGTGGTGGTGGGGTTTGGGGGTGCTAGAGGGGAGGAAATGGGGGTAGATTTCATCAAAACACATTGTATGCATATATGAAAGTCTCCAAAATAAAAAAATAAAATCCCTAAAAAAAAAAAAAAAAAAAGACCAGACACTGTGCTGCTCCCAAGATTGGAAAGCATAAATGAAGCTTACTATAATCATCTAGGTGTGTGGGCACAGTCTTTAACTCCTTTAGGTAGATACAAAAGCCCTAAGTGTTTGATTGTATGATAAAATTTTAGTTACATTTTGTAAGAAACCATGTTAGTTACTTTTCTCATTGCTGAGGTCAAATCTGACAAGGAGAGACTTTGGGGAGGAAGGATTTATTCAGGCTTACAGTTCAAAGGATGCAGTCCATCATGGAGGAGAGGCATGATGGCAGGAGAATGGGGTGACAGCCACACTGTGTCCACAGTCAGGAAGCAGAGAGGTATGAATGCTGCTGCTCAGCTTGCTCTCTAATTAGTCCAGGTCCTTGACTTATGGAATGGTGCCACCCACATTTAGGGTGAGTTTTCCCCTCAGTCAACCCAGTCCGGAAACTCTCTCACAGACATGACTAGAAGTTTGTCCCCAAAGTGATTCTAGATCTTGTCAAGTTGACAATATTAACCATTGTAGGAACACCAAACTGTCTTCCTGCTAAAACTAGATCAAGTTTCAGTTGCCCCATATCCTTGTCAGCATTTGGTATTAGTGTTCTGGACTGTGCTCGTCTGATAGGAGGGCGGTGATGCTTGCTGTTTTTCTTTGTATTTTGTGATGACGAACCATGTAGGTCATCTCTTCATATGCCCTCTTGCCACTTGTATGATTTTTTGGGTGAGCCATCTCTTAAGGTCTTTAGCCTCATTCCTTCGTTTGGAAAGTGTCTTTTCAGCTCATTTGCTTATTGCTTGGATTATTTGCCTTTAAAATTAATTCTCTCTATATATACATAATGTTTAAAAAAGATTCATTTAAAAATTTCTATGTATGATTTTTTTCAGTTTTAAAGTCAGTATTATTTTATTTTATGGGTGTTTTCTAATTTCAACTTCATTGATTTCTGTTCTATCCTTATTCTTTTTCTTCTGCTTACTTGGACTTTATGTTCTCATTTATCTTTAGTTTCCTAAAGTGGAAGCTTAGAGTATCAAATATAATTTTTTTTCTAATATATGGATTCAGTTCTCTTTCCCTTTCAGCACTGTTTTTTTACTGTATCCCACAAATTTCAAGTTGTGTTTCCATTTTTTTCTTAGTTCAAAGTATTTTTGAACTTTCTGAGATTTTCCATCTTTGCTTCATTTTGTGTGTGTGTGTGTGTGTGTGTGTGTGTGTGTTCGCGCGTGCCCCCACACGCGTGTGCACACGTGTGTTTTGACCTTTTCAGCTCTCTTTGTTTTCTTTTGCTTGTTTTTTGAGATAGGGACTCTCTACATGGAGCTTGAATTCACAGAGATCTACCTGCCTCTGCCTCCCTAGTGTTTGGATTACAGGTGTGTGTCACCACACGTGGCCTTTTCAGTTATCTTTGGAACTGGTTTCTAGTATAATTCAATTGCGGTCTGAGGGCAGACACTATATGATTTTTGTATGAAATTGCTAGGGAGCCCTTTACAGCCCACAGTATGGCCAACTTTGTGTGTGTTCCATTTGAGCTTCAGAATACTATACATTTGTCTGTTTTTAGATGACATTCTATATAGATGCTGATTAAATCCTTTTGATTTGTCTAATGAGTTCAGTTACACCCTATAGGTTGTTCTTCCTGCTGGATCTGTCCATTTCTGATAAAGAGTGCTGAGGTTTCCAGTAAAAACAGTGGATTCATCTGTTCATCTTTGCAGTTCTGTTACATTCTTGCCTCACGTAGATGACACTGTGCATCTATGTAAGACTCTCACACAAGAATTGTTATATCATGATGTTATGATATCACAACATCATGTCATGGTTTTTAAAAAATTATCTTAGTTTTTAATTTTATTGCACACACACACACACACACACACACACTATCTCTTTTTACCCTACAGGTCCTTTGT